AAGAATCTTCCAGGGAAGGAAGATTTCCATAATTCCACCTGATACAGTGTGATGCAAAAGGACTGGCCAAGCAGTCGTGTGTAGAATGAACCAGAAAATGAAATAGAGAAATCCATAATAGCTCGATCCCCGACAAAGTGTACTTGTGCCTACATTTAAACAACACCAGTACTGGAGCGGCAGTTTGTGTGAGACCACCAGTGGAGAGAAAGAATTACTAACTTATCAAATCTAGAACAGAACAAAGTCCCTCGCACCTCTCTAAGCACTAGCCTTTTCCCCATACTCACAATACATACACACACACACACACACACACAGACAGTGGCTATTCAAATGTTTTACTTTGCCATCACTAGAAACATCCTATATACATGACAACAGAATTTAAGAGTTTCACCACTAGCCCCCCCCACCCCATGACTACAGAAAAAACCTACGCTCTACTATGCTGAATGATACAGACAGGCAGCTCGCCTTCCACGTCCTCTGTGACTTATAGCACCAGTAAGTCAAGGAACCACACTTCTGAAACAAGGGAAATATAGTACTAAAAGCATTGGTAATACTCAGTAAATAAAGTTGAAGAAAAACAAAACCTTGCATCTCACTTGTTAAAAAGTGTCAGTCAAAAGAAAAAGAAAAACAAATCAGGCATGACTTAAATGATGGCTGGTATACTCTCAATGAGACAAGCTGGGCACAGGACATCCATTTCTAAATCCAAACACAAATGATAAAAGAAAACGTGCCCGTTTGTCTCAACATATGCCCCAAGTTGTTCATATTTATACCCTCAGGTCAGAAAAACGAAGCCCTTTTCACATTATTCGACTTCCTGCTATAAATGTCTGTCAACAGTCTTGACCCAACCACGTGTGCCTGCGATACTGTAAAAGCACTAAGCTTAGTTCAGGGGGTAAAAAGAAACAAACATCAACATTAATAACAACAACTCTACAATACAGGCATTTCACAGCTTTTGAGAAACAAAAGAAAAGCATAAGGGAATGCAATAAAATCAATGAGCAAAAAACATGAGCTGATATAGAGGGCCAGGTTGATTGGTGCAACGAAAACTAAAACTCATCTAAAAGAGTGTAAAGGTGATACTGTGGGTACGACTACTCGAACCTTTGCTGTATGTTTCTTCGCCTGGCCTTCCACATAATAAACTACAAAATGACATAAAAAGGACACTGCCTTCATCCCGCAACATGAACGAACAGGCTTTCAAACTTTTGATTTATTTCTGCACATTTCATTAAGCTTAACGCTGTTAAACTAACAAAAAGAGAAAAAGATTCACCTGCAAAAGACTGTAGCCAGTGTGAAATCAATTTAATCTCTGTTGTACATAAACAAAAAGATTACGGTATGCAAAGTGTCAATGGCTATCAGTACAGCTGCATTCCAAGCTGTGTAAAAGTAATTTTTTGCAATAGGAGAGGGTGCGTCGCGCTATCAGAGATGATATAAGTGTGTTTCTATTCCAATTCGGGGTTCAAATACAAACATTTAAATGGTGGCTGTAATAACTTTTTTTTATTTCAGATTTATTCAAAAATATATGAATTAATGATAACAGGTTAAGATAAAATTCATATGCAATATACTGCATATTATTAGCATAATGCGTCTCTCTAGAGTGATTTTTTTTGTGTGTTGTAGCTAACTAATGAGCTATGGACATGAAATGGCTTTCCTGAGGTAAATAAAAGTGGTTTTATTAATGTCTTTTCAAAGTTGATTGAGTAATGAAAATTAAACATCATTCAGTGAAATGTTTTCGACCCTCCAAAAGACTGAAACAGAAAAAACACTTTTGGCCAAATATTTTTGGTGCATCACTAGTTCTTAAAGGGTGGTAACTGTTTGTGCATGCATGCTTTGAGTCCTAAATATTTTAGGTGGTCCTCTGAGCTCCCCCATGGTATATGGCATGAGAGGGGGGAAACAAGGTTTATAACACCAAACACAAAGGGGGAAAAAAACAAAACAATGCATACTGCATTTCCCCCCCCCCCCACTCAGGAACACAAATGGCGGGTTATTTCAAGATCGGAGGAGGGGCGACAGCTAATTATGTCTAGCACCTTCAAATGTACAATAAAAATTTGAGGTGATTAATCACTAGGTGGGGATACATTTTTCATGATCCTCCGTCAAAGGTAAAGCAGCGCACGAGGACTCTAGGGCCAATCATGTGACGGCTGCTCTCAAAAGGGCGGGGGTGAATCCATCTCTGACGTTACAGAGGGAACAAAAGAGCTGCAGAGGTGAGCCGTTCAGCAAATCGGAGACTACCAGTAAACAATTCATTCAGGGCAGAAACAATAATAAAGGAATTGAATGGAGGTTTTCTGCAAACTGAGGCCATAAGCAGCAATTTTACACTTAAACAACTAAAAGCAAAAAGGCTTGTAAATGTAAAGCTGCATTGATTAAGTGTGAGTAGGAGCACAATCCGGGTGATCACACTGCATGCCAAGAGAGAGCCAAAACCAAGCACTGGGGGTTAAAAGAGTGAGACAGAAAGAGGCATCCACACCCTGGCAACTAGAGGTTATGGATACTTCACAAAGTAAAGTGTAGAAACACACTCACAAGTAGAGGGCGCTGCACCGCACACAATCAAGAGTGCTCTGCAGCACATCATTTGTGCTTCCTTTCTGCTTCAGCGACTGATTTTGAATTAGCTCTCCAACACTAGATCAAACTTATCAATTATTGGGTTCTATAAATACATGTAAGAGTACATGGTGATTGTGTGTAGGCTGCTATAGGACAGTTGTGACAGATGGTCTGGTGGGCATACGTGCATATGGGAGCACTACTTTTTTTTGTGCTCTAAATGAAAGCAGAGTGCGTCTTGTTTACAACTCTTGATCTGATCAAACCTAAGCACTGGGATATGGAGATATGTCGGCCAGAAATTCACATGACAAAGGAATGATAATAGCGCAAATTGCATCCTCAAACCAATCAAGGGTTGAAATTATGCTTTAAACTGTTTTTATAGCAGGGAAATATTTCTGGAGACTGACGCTTTAGCACATTTCTTTAGTAAAAATAAGCAAAAGCCCAACCGTCTAGATTCAGCTTAGAGGATAACAGTACTGTCCATCTGTGAGTAACGCATCACATCATCTGGTGTTATGAATTACTTTCTGTGCAAAGATTAAATATACCATCTGAGTCATTAGAGTGGAGTGTGAGGTCATAAACTGCTAACCGGGATGAAGACGGAATAAAGTATGCAAGTATCCCAGGCTATGAATACTGGTGGATTTGGTGTAGCCTTGGATCCATAAATATTTTACCATTCATTTTCTCCATAGACATTTAAAAAAGTCTTCAATAAGGAGCCACAATACAAACCAATCAGCCAGCTTTGAGATGAATCTGAAGGAAGGGTGTAACAATACATATATTCGTACAAAAAAAAATTCCGATATGAGTCTTCTGGCTCAGCATGCATGTGTACCAAACGAATGCAGTGCTGTTTTTACCACTGCACGTGTGGAACTTCTGTGTGTGTGTGGAACATAATCTGAAACTGAGTTTCCCCCCAGGATAGGAAAGTACCAGTTATATCAATATATTTTGACACTGTGAACACATCTGAAAAATAACGCAGAATAACACTGTGATCTGCTGTGAGCTTATGCAAGTTGTCCTAAACATAAAACATGCTTTATATTAACTGCTTCAAACTAACTCAACATGTGACTTCAAAACCAAGTTATGTACCGGACTGTCATTTTTGTGTACCTTGACACCCCTAATCTTCATTACAAACTCTTGATTTGAAGCCTAAGTGCTTATATGAATATTTTTAAACTGACTTTGGTACAACAGCGTGTGCTTGAAGCGATATTTCACCCAAAAATGAAAATTGTGTCATTAATTACTCACCCTCATGTCGTTCCAAAGCCCCAAGACCTTCGTTCATCTTTAGTACACAAATTAAGATATTTTTGATGAAATCTGAGAGCTTTCTGACCCTGCATAGACAGCAACACAACTACCATGTTCAAGGCCCAGAAAGGTAGTAAGGACATCATTAAAATAGTTCATGTGACAGTGGTTCAACCTTAATTTTATGAAGCTACAAGTATACATTTTGTGCACAAAGTAAACAAAAATAACGACTTTATTTAACAATCTCTTCCGTGTCAGTCGAAGCGTGTTCATAAGAGTACGTGGTAGTTACATTGCTGTCTATGCAGGGTCAGAAAGCTCTCAGATTTCATCAAAAAAAAATCTTAATTTGTGTTCCGAAGATGAATGAAGGTCTTATGGGTTTGGAACGACAGGAGGGAGTAATTAATGACAGAATTTTCATTTTTTGGTGAACCCTTTTAATATTAGTTATGAGTAAACAAACTACAATCTCAGGAAAGACTACCAAAACATAAAATTAAAAATTGACGGTACAATATAACACCACTGAGTCAGGTACAAAAAAATATTTTAAGTTGAAAGCAAAATATTTAGAAGCCATTTTGACTGAAAGGAAGTCAATGAAGACGATGCCTCACTTTCACTGAAGAAACTGCTTTTGTAAAGAAACTAGCTTGTAACATCAGACAGACTGCTGGGTGCTAATCTTCAACAATGTTTGCATAACATTCTTTTAGTAATATATTCACAAGAGAATCTCAGAGCTGATGGTAGATTTGTGTTTCTCTATGGAGAAAATGAATGGGGTTTTTACATCTGGAGCCCGACTGTGGCGCTCTGTTTGAATAACACCATATTGCTTTTCAATTGAACACTTCAAGAGCCTTTGCTAAACATCTGAATTACAGTTAGGAATGAAGTAGTGAAGTCTCTCATCAATCTGTGTGGTGAGTGATGTGCTGCGTAACAGCCGTACAGCAGTGATGTGGGACAGGGGGGCTATTACTCAATGAAGGGAAGTGGAGGTAGTCCAGGTATTAAAAAATAAATACAATTTTAAATTTTTTTAAAAAAGACACCCGACTGTCACTCACCCAATGCTGTCTCTCATACCAGAACATGGCGAGCATCTACTTGCCGTGGTGATCATAGGGAATGCTATTCTGAAGTGGGTGGGTGGGTGGTTGGAGGGGGAAACATATTCATTTGTGGTGAAAAGAAATTAAAAAAAACAACAACAATGTGGTAAACACCTAAAAAATGTGGATCTGAACAGAAGCGTTAAAAGCAAATATTCAAATCACCAGAGACTCTCTAGACAGAATTATGAGTCTGGGCAACATTTCAAGAATGTGTGACAAGGTCTGAAAAGAACTCTATGCAAATAAGATCCAAAATATGTGGCAGTGGTTACACAATACAGGGCTCAACAATAAGGATGGCCCAGGGCCAACGCTTGCGTTTCAACACTCCTTACGTTTATAAGTTATGTAAGGCAAATGTCACATTTTAGTGACTTTTGAACAATGTTGTTTGCAAATGAAAATCATGTAAATATGTCAGCAATGCACTGTAACTTAGCTGGCCGACAGCAATATAGAGAGAGTGATTTGTGCTAGTCTTGAAAGAGCCATTTAAATAGGCTTTAAAAAACAAACTGTTTTGCACCACATTCCATCATTTTCCAGCAAAAATGCTTTTTAGGTTTGTTTTATGCTTTTTTTTGTCAGTAAAAATGTGTTACATATATAACTGAAAAAAATCATTAAAAAAAAACATAATAATTGGGTATACCTAATAAACGCACGGTTTCATCTGCGAACAAGAAATTGTATAATATTCTCTCCTTTGCAGCCAGAAAAAATATTTTACTTAACTGGATTAGTGATAAATCACCATCACTTAAAGGTTGGCATAAGATAATTTTTTTGCTGATTCCCCTGGAGCGTCTTACCTATGCATTACATCAAAAAACAGGCCAGTTTTATAAAGTCTGGACTCCATATCTGGACTATATGGAACCTCATCTTCGCCCTATTATACTACAAGGAATATTGTAATTGTGTAACTGTCTGGACAATTAACTTTTCTGCCCTATTCATTTTTTTCCTCTTTCCCTAATCTGTTATATATGGGGTAGCCCCGTTTTATTTAACACTATTAAAAAAATATTTGAATATAATATATTTTGATGTCTTGTTATTTTTGTATTACAGTGAAAATTCAATAAAAATAATTATATATATATATATATATATATATATATATATATATATA